CCCTGTACCCCCTCCTCAGGGCTCGTCCGCCCCCGGGGTTCACGTGGGCCCGGCGGGTATTTACAGCCGGTGCCGGGCAGAGGGGCTATTTTCGGACGCACAGAGCCCGGTGCTGCTGTCAGATGCTGGGGGAGGAAACTCCGCGGGAGGTTTCTCTTCCTCTTTCTGCAGAGCCCCTCTCTTCACCTTTCCCGTCGGGCTGCCCAGGTTTGCATCACGCGCTTGGCTTGCTGGCTGCTGATTCTGTCTGCCCTCTGCTCCTGTTCTGTGACAGATATCAACCTTAACTCTCCCAACAAAGGTCTGCTGTCGGATGCCATGACAGATGTGCCTGTGGATAACGCGGCTTCGGCCAGGACCTCTGCGCCTGAGGGGCTGACTCTTGCCGAAGAGGAGGAGTTGAGATCTGAGCTTGCCAAGGTAACGGGGGGCTGGTGTTTGGCAGAGGGGGCTGTGTGTGGCCGCAGTTGTGTTCTGCTGGGAAGGAACGAATAGGAGCCACAGAAGCAGGACTTGGGCTTTTTTTTGTTTTAATTTTGCAGTGGTGTTACCTTTGGATCTCTCAGCTAATTGTTAAAATGCACAAAGCTGACAGGTACTTCAAACGCTGTGGTATGTTGCGTGCTCTTTCCCAGAACGACTTGATTTAGAGCTCTAAGGAAATAAGTGGCTTTTGATGCCGTGAGTTTAATCTAGGCTCTTAGCTTCATTTGAATTGAGAAAACATTTTAGGCAAGTGGTATGCAAAAGAAACTAATTTTTCCTTAGGAAGCTGAAACAATGGAGCACTTACGTTTTCGTTTTCTACCTTTTTCTCTTAAATATTTATTGCACTTCATAGGCAAATATTTTTGTTGCCTCTATACTTTTCAAGAGCTGAGAGTTTGTAATGTAATATCCTGAATTTTGGGCACCTTTGGGGGTTTAAAGGTCAGTTTCTAATTTCTATCTGAAATGTAGCTGAGGATAATTACAGCTGTTCCTCTGCTGTCCGTCCTTGCATTTGAGAATCTTAAGGTGATTCTTTGACTTGCAAGTTTTAGCAAGGGAGCACTGTGCTGCTCCGGGTGGTGCCGCAGGACTTGGTGAGCTGCAGTTACAGGAGAAATGAACCCTCTCTGCCTGGGAACAACTCCAGAGTACTTTGAAAAATGTTGTACGAAAGATCTTTGAGGAAAACGTCTTTGTTTTAATTACATCAGAGGAAAAGAATCATAAGATAGAAACCTTAGTGAGTAAGGTTTGCCACTGATTTTTATCTGCTGTTGAAATTACAATGCTAGGAATGAATTCTGTTAATCTTGGTGCCTTTAAGTCGCCAGTACAGTGACTTGTACAGATGTTTTCCCAATTGAAGTCTGATCTGTAGACCTCCCACTCTGGTACCATTCGTGTTCACTTGAATTGTTCTGCATGTACCTGGTGTTCCTACCAATTCTTTAAATTCATGTTAATAAAATCTTGCTAGTTTTGCAGGAGTTAGAAAGTTGGCTTAATTTTCAGAATTTTACTGAACTGTGATTTAAGACAAACCTCTACCTCTCTTCCAGGTTGAAGAAGAAATCTGTACTCTCAGGCAAGTGCTGGCTGCTAAAGAGAGGCACTGTGGAGAGCTGAAGAGGAAGCTAGGCTTGACTCCCTTGGATGGGTTAAAGCAAAACCTGTCGAAAAGCTGGCATGATGTCCAAGTCTCCAATGCGTAAGTGTTGCTTGCGATGCACGTTTTATGTTTCGGTGTGACTCTGTAGTAATTATTTCCCAGCAGCATATTCCAGGGCTCTTCAAAGTGGCTGGAGGCTCTTGCTGTGATGGGCATATAGAGTAAAAGGCACTTAAAACTATTTGTTTCACTGCTCTCGTGTCAGTGTCTTTGTCAGCATAAATGGAACTTTCCTCCCTGTGATCTGGCTAAGTTGTTGCTGGATGCTCTTTCCTGCGATGTTAGAGATCCGATTGTCACTTAATAGTTCAGTTTGCCCGTTTCTGCCCATTCTTTGTCATGTCAGCTGCTGCTACCTTGTTCTGGACTCGGGCTCAAAGAGAAGCATGAGAAATTTCAAAGCTTAACGATATAGTGCCTGTTCAGAAGCTATTTCCCAAACTTGAATTAAGAAGCCTGCACTTCCTAGGAAAAAATTCTGTAATATTAGTGTGTGTTATGCATAGTGGTCGCTGCCTAGAGAAGATCTGAAGTTAGACTGACTGTTCCTGAGCAGGCGTTAAGGGCATGGTCACTGCAGTGTTGATAGTGCCAAAAGGAGGGTTGAAGAGGTAAGTTTGAGCCTGCAGTTGTTCCTGGATGTAAAGGGCACTTGGTACCCACAGAGAACATTCGGTCTAAAATGTCTCCTGTAACTTAACTGGAATTTGGAGTTACTGACAGTGCTACTCCAGACCAGATCGTTGAGCTGTTCATCTCACGGTCCTTTCCCCTTTTCCTCATCTTCCCTCTGACACCCCTCCGTGATTTCTGTTATTCCTTTGTAACTGCAATCTGTGTCATTGTCTTCTAAAAAAATGAATATTACAGTTATATTCATTAACACTTTCTGTTTCTAGTTATGTGAAAACATCTGAGAAACTTGGAGAGTGGAATGACAAAGTGACACAGTCTGACTTGTGAGTGCCTCGGGCTCCTCAGCAACACCTCCTTGCTCCATTCCCCAATTTGTGCTGCTCCTTGTTTTCCCAGGCATCAGGGGTTATTGGGAGCTAGAGGCATGGTGAGGCAGGGCTGTTATTGGCAGCATGCCTGGCTTCCAGCTATAAGCATCCCTCAGCTGCAGAGGAGATGAATAAAGGTTCCTGCTGTCATCTTTCTCATGGCCTTGCTATTGCAGAAGAAAAATTCCAGTCAGTTACCAGACCACATTAAAAAAAAAAAAGTAAAAAATTAACCACAATTTCCCTTTAGCTGGTCACTGGTAGGTTAGTCTCTTGTAATTGGATGTCTTATTAGTGAACCTCGATCTGTACTGTGAAACTATTTATCTTCTCATCATCGGATGTGGCTGGAATCAGTTTGATTATTGCCTTTCTGTATGGCCACAGGGGCGAGAGACATCTGAAGGCATTTACCTGGAAAGAGGGGCTGTGCAAATGCAAAGCTGTATATTAGCTTTTGAAAGCTGCTGTGCAGTGCCTCTTCTGCATTGATGGATGTGAACCTCTTTGATGTCAGCTCTAGAAAGCCAGAGATTTTAGTCTTTACAGTATATCCAAGCAGGTGACAAATGTGGACAAAGAACACCTGGCTGCTTTTGTCTCTAGAATATGTTCTTTAATTGTGTTAGGCCTCCGTTCATGTTAGGCATAATCATTTTGATTCCAATGTAAGGGAGACCTTGAATGTTTTCTGCACTGCCCTTCGGTGTCTTGTGTTGAAGGAGATGATTATTTAGGTAAGAGGAGAATGTAGATTGGGAGCATCCCATCAGCTCTCGTCTAATTGGGGAGAGTTATACTCCTGGGTGACATGAACTGCCTGTGATGTGTTGCCTCTTCTAAGTGCTTCTGTGTGTTGTCTGAGCTGGTAGCAGACACTTCTGTAGTACTTGGGTTTGTTCTGTACCTCCGGTGTTAGTTCTCATAACCCCTAAGGTACTGTTTTCTATATAGGGAAATGTGATTTCTAAAGATGAGAAAATGAAACTAAATTTAATAGTTTGTCCAGGTCATGCTATATTGGTAAAATACAGCTTTGGGTGTGGCAGTCAGATTTATTTTTTTTGGCCTTGAGCTCATATCTGTGCTCTTATTATGCAGCTGCCACGCAGCACTGCAGAAGATGCAGTCTTTCAATTCCTGACACCTTCTGAACTGCAGGCTTTGCTTCCTTGCACTGTGTTTGAAGTGCTTAAATCAGAAAGAACAGAGGGCTTAGGTGTCTGCTCGCGTCTCAAACGACAGCTCTTTTCCTTCTGGCTGTAATAGAGAAGGGGGGAAGCTATTGTCAGAGATAAAACCTATGATACTGTAAGTGTAAAGAGATGCTAACAATATGGAAAGTGTCAAAAGAAGCATCTGGCAGTGGATGGTGGCACCGTATCTAACCTCCATTGTGTTTGTAGATATCTTTCAGCCAGCAGCACACTGGAGGACTGGAATGAAAAATTAACTCAATCGGAAGCGTGAGTGTCTTAACCTTCAGTGTTAACAAATGCTTTCATGACGGTCTGCTGCCACTAATGTTCTGTGCCCCTGCTCACAGTCCTCTGCTTTGGCTAGATCTATTTAAACATCTCTCTTTTCTAGCTGTCACTTTTTGAACCCGATAAATGCCTCTTCTGGGAGAGGGAGCTTTTCCTCAGGTCACTATTTGATGGATTTCGTTGTGGTCCAAGCGATATTCTTCAAATGCTTGCCTGCTCTCAGAGGAGAACTTGCTGAAGCCACTGGGTAGCTGACGAGCTGTGGAATAGCCAGACTGGCCTCTTCTTGTTACTCTCCACATGCTCTGCAGGGAGCAGTTTTTCTTTTTGCCATGGTACCTGATGAGAACAAATAGAGCTGTAGTGTCCAAGGCAGCTGTTGTGTCATGCTAGGGCCCCAAATATACTTGAACAGCTTCAGCCTCACAGCTGTTCACTCCAATTGTTGGCTGTGAAGGTCTGTTAGCCACATTTTTATTAAATGCCTGAAATTAAATTCTCATCTGGAATAAATTATGGAAGCATATTGTGAAAGTTGGCCTTTGTCCTTCTCATTGCATCTTTCCCACTGTATATGGGGGAATCCTTTACAGTGATGCAGTGGGAGCAGGTAGGTAGTGGCATTGTTTTCTGAACTGATTTAAACCAGGGTAAGTTAGGTCTGAAGGAAGCCAGCTTTTACTGTTCTCTGGAGTTCTCTGGAAATTCAGTCCTTTGAGCTGGCTTGTTATTGGCAGTGTGTGTGAATACAAGGTTTTCTTCGTAAGATGGGCGAAAGATGAGCAGAGATAAAAAGTAGGAGTGTCAGAAAAAACTTTAAAGTATGCAGATTCTACTTTCAGTGGTCCATGGATGTTTTCTAGATTAACAAGATGTAAATCGTCACTATTTCACTTGCTAAATACCATGACCTTGGTTTTTGTGCTTGCTGACAGTGTGACAGATTCCAGCGGTGTTTAATCAGAGTTCCTCCCTGGGTGTGCCTGCTAGAATAGAAAACTTCTCGTTATATCTGTTTCCTTGTACATAATAAGCGCCAGAAAGATGGCGGAAGCGTGCTTTTGTAGAGCACTTATGGCCTGAATAGCCGTGGCACGCTCGTTTTCCTGCTTGCTTTGGCACTAGACAGAGTGAGAATTCATGCTAGCGAGGTAGGTGCTGATTAAAACGGAGAGGCGAGGGGGTTTGAAAGGTAGGATTCCAGCAATGTTTCAGAAAATAAACAGAAGTTCTGCTTCCTTTTTCTAAAGCTCTGTAAATGCGAAGAGTCAAGTTCAAGAAATCAAAAAATGAGGTTTTACTCATGTTTTGTTTTTTTTTTTTTTAAGTGCAAATGCATCCTCTTTCCTGTTGTTTGAGCTTCTTGGCATGATAACTAACCATCATCCTGACTGAACTGGGAACGGGCCTAACTTGTGACCTTGTGCTGCTTTTGTGCCCTGATGCATTTCCTGGCAGCTGCTGTTGTGGCCGCAGAGCTTGCCCTGCCCTCGCCAGGCAGAACAGAGGACAGAAATCAGCCCGGTCTGTCCCTAGCTCCAGTTTTGCTGGAACCAGGACACAGGATGACTGAGATGGTTTGTGTAAGACAGGTAGCACAAATGGGGATTGCTGGATAAGCGCAGGTGGGAGGAAGCTGGTATTAATGGATAAAGGAGGATTTGAGGGTGCAGGTCTGGCTCCTCCCTGCCAGGGTTTCTAGGAGAGGGGTGCAATAGTATGTTTGAATACCATAGGATGAATGTCACGAGGCAGAGATAATTTCTGCAGTTCCAGCAGCCAGTTGCCTGTTAGTAGAGCAAGATATTAATCAGAGCTCCTATTGGTTACTCACAGATTTTTATTATTTATATTGTGCTTTGTACTGGTGCTAAGGGAAGAAAGTGAGCAATTGTGAGTTTAAAGCCGTGGTAGACCTGGCTCTGTCTCTTGCAGGAGAGTAGTTGCGACTTTTGGGTCAGGGCAGGGTGCAGTTAGGTTGCATTAAAGTCTTGCATAACCTGATCCCTGGTTTTCACAGAGGCAGTTCCACGTGTGTGTCTGATGGCAGGTTTGGGATACAGAGCTGCTCATCTCGGCTGTGCTTTCCAGGCTCTGCCTCCTGCGCTGCAGCAGCGGAGGTGTGTGGGAGCTGTGGATGCGAGACTAGACTGGCGACCTGATCTGGCTGCTGTTGTCTTTCATTCTTCCAAGTTTACATTTCAGTTGGATGGTTTCCTTGGTCTAGATCGCTGTGTCAGCACAAACAGATGTGCTGTTATCGTGAAGGAGCACACTCTGGCAGAAGGAGCAGCACTTCAATGCTAGATTTTTCGGTTACCTTAAGGATACTGCTGTCAAGTGTGGAAAATACAGTTGGAAAATCTCTGGCCTTTGTGCGCTGCAGCTGGACATAACACCTGGGAGTTTGCAGTGTGCTCAGGGCGTGAGGGTGTCCTTTCAGCCTGTAAACTGTTCCTCTCATCGCTGCTCTGGCACTCAGTGCTGAGCTCTGTGAGCTGAGCACCAAGCAGACACAGTCAGCACAGCATACTTCAGTGAGCAGGAGGCTGTCGATGTTCCTGCCAGGCAGCTGTAAATCAGATCCCGTAACAGGACTGAGCCAGCCGGGGAGCAGCCTGAGTGCTGAAGGCAGGGATTGAGATCCTCCCTTTCCAAACCAGCTTTGGCCCTAGGGTTCAAACACAGCTGTTGCGATAGGGAGGCACGTGTGAGAGCAAGCAGCGTTGATGCTGACCAGTTCAGTCCCAAATTGTTCTGAGATGACTGCTTCTTGCAAAAGGTTGTGCTGTGGAGAAAGTGCTGAGACCTTGTTGGGGCACGCTCAGGTTCCTCTGGAGTCACTGAATTCAAGAGGAATCGGTCTGAGAAATGTGTGGGTTAGGAATTTTCTTTCAGGAGCAGGAAGAGGGAAGGTAAGGCTGATGCGTTTGTGCCCTGTTCTGTGTAAATCTCATGTATATTCTTGATTGGGAAGTACTTGGCTGTGGTCTTAAACAAAAAAAACAAACCAGTGTGTTGTAATTGGTATTGCTTGAATCCAGTTCGGGTGCTGTGGTGCTGTCTCCTGCACTTCTGTCTGGATAGAATGAGATGTAAATAAGTCAGCTGTCATCACGGTGCTTCTGGCCTTGGGACCTCAGGCATGAGAGAGAACGTTAGGCTGTTCATAGTGCCCTTCTCCTAAATGGCCCAGTCAGGCAAAAACATAATCTCAAGATGAAATATTTGGAATAAGAAAACTTGGCTTAAATTGTTGAATTTGTTTTCCAGCATGAGTCTTTTTTTTTTTTTATAATTTGAAGAATGCTATAAATCTAGGTGTTAATCACCAACTGTGGGATAGCGTAGAGAGGGTGAGTTAATGAAAGTGTCTCACAGAATCCTTGTTCCTGAGATGAGTCTCATCTAAAGCAAACAAAGGTTCTGGAGTGTCTGCCTGCTCCAACTGTGCTATAAACTCGAGTGTAATCAGCTGGCGAGTACAAGCTGTCAGACTTGCTATGTATTGTGGTTAACGGTAACTGATGGGAAACTTCTCTACCAATTCATTTCTAAACTGCAAGTTGTAGAGATAATGCTGATTCCTGCATTTCTTTTCTGTGCAGTTAGTCTTGCCTCTTTCTCCATAACCTAACAGTACAACAAACGCTATTACTTCTTCAGAGCTGCAAGCTACCAAAAGGTAGTTGTAGAGCAGATAGGATACGATGCTATGGTATTGGAGTTTCCACCTGGAACTTGGGGTTTGATTGGGTTGGTTTTTTTTTTTTTTTCCCAAATGTTTGTCAGATTTAAGAACATATGGTCAAAATGGTAAAGTGAGTGTATGGAAAGGTTAATCCTGTATTTGCTGCCTTCTTAAAACTTCCAGTCTTTGAGTATATGCAAGACTGGAAGGGGCTCTCTTAGTGAGGTCAGTGCAGCCGACCTTTCCTTTAATATGGGTTCCTTTTTCAACGTGGGGAGGAGTATGCTTCTTGCTTTCAGATACTAGCTATTATATCCATTTATGATTGTTTTTTTTTTTCTCTTTAGTTACAAGAAGACCCAGGAAACCCTTTCCCAGGCAGGACAGAAGACTTCAGCAGCCCTTTCCAATGTAGGTTCTGTTATCAGCAGGAAACATGAGGTAAGATTTCTGTTTTGTGCTCTGGTGCTTTGATGTTGGTTTCAAAGAGTAAGGACACTTTAGACAATAATTAGCCTTTTTTCCATTTTTCTATTTAGTTGACAGCACATTGCTGTTGATGGACTACCTTCTTCTGTGTGGCCCTGTATGTCATAGTTTAGGACAGATTAAACACTTATTAAAGACTTGTTGGTGGGATAAAACCCATCCTGAGGCATTAAAGTTTGATTTGGCTTAGGAGAATCGACAGAATGTTTTCAGCAGCCTTCCTCATTTTACTGCCATATGGTTTCACTGCAGCCTTTATGTCACATGTAAGAAACTAGTATTCAAGTTTACCTCTTCATTACTGGATTATGGAGGTGTTTTCTCAGGGTTATTGTTTAGGATTAGGAAGGGGTCATCACTCCTTCCTTCTGTTAGGCTTTCAAATGAGGCAAAGCCTAGATGCTGCATCTCATGCAGTTTCAAGCCCTGTGTGTCAGCTTTCTGCGGAGAAGGGCAGTATGCCTTCCAGCACAGTTATGTCATGTTGATTGGAAGGAAGATAAGAATTGATTCAGAAGACCATGACAATATTAACGACTTCTTGTGGTTGGTGGTTATCTAGATTCCTTAAGCAGATGACCGCTGAAGTAATTGCAAGTTTAAACCTCCCTGAATCGGGAGGTGGAGGCCTGGTTCCCTCGGTTGTTAGCTGGGGTTCTTGCTCTACGAGTTTCTCAGCTGTACAAAGTTGAAGGTTAGGATTGCTGATTTACCTGATCTTCAGAAATTTAAGCTAAAGATTGCTTCCCCATTAACGGCAATGTCCAAGCTCTTCATGCAGGATACCTTGACCATGTTTTTCTTGGAAGTGAGAGCTAATTCTGAATATACGACCTGTCTAGGTTACTGAGGGTGTTTTCTTAGAGCTTGTGTTTAACATGATGTATCAGACCTTGGACTGAATGGGTAGCTGTCATTCTTTGTAGGGAATTTCCTATTCTACTGTGGCTGGGAGTATCCAAGTGGTAAGAACTTGCTGGCCTCTGATCACATAGCACTGATTTATTCTAGTTCTGTCCTCAGTGAGTTATTTACTGTGTTCCTGAAGGGTAATTTTTGGTATTTTCAGTAGCTCACTTCTCTGAATTTGGCAGAGGACTAACTAGCTTCCTACCCTTTCCAGTATTCAAGCTTCAATTTTTCTTTTGTGGAAGCTACCTAGTCCACTAGAAAAAGAGTTTTAACACGTAACCACAGGAGACAGATACTGGCACAAGATGTAATAGATTTTGCTAAACTGATAATAGTGAAATAAATTTGGTCCTGACTTCTGCAGTCTGGTCAGGCTGCTGTGGCAGACGGATGGAACTGTGCTTTTTGGACCAAACGGGGAACTCCTGAGCCAGTGTTGCTGCCAGAAGAGGCTGTTCTGACAGGCAGGGTCCTGCCTGTTGCCTTTTGGTTGGGAGAGTCCAATTTACCATGCAGCTGCAGAAATGTTTGTGCCATCCTAGGGGCAGATGATGGAGGGAGCAGAAGCATGGCCGAGTGAAGAGTGTGGCTGTGATTCCTGGTGACAGAGCTGCCCTGACACAGAAAACTGGCCGTGGATGCCAGCCCGGCTCACTATGAGCGAATCAGACCTTTGCAGCGTGGCATTGCTCAGCATTAGTCACTGATTTAAACCCCTGCATTGCTTTTTATAGCTAATACCTTGGGTGATGTGTTATGGAACAGAGGCAGCTTCTGCCTTCTACCTTGGGAATCCCTGCCGAAGTGGTTCCAGCAGGATTGGCTTTGTATATGTGGCCCTGTGGGGGAACACAGTAATGATTTTTTTTTTTCCAAGACTTTCAGTTTTTCTGTGCATATATAAACAGACTTCTGCCTCCAGTGCTGCATTGAGGTCTTGGTATTTCTGATTCTGAATAAGGTTTAACTGTGAGCATGAGTTTCTGCAGGACCTGTCCCACTTTCCACCCTTGCCAGGTGAAACTGTGAATGGTGTTCTGAGATGTGATCAGAGCTGGCGAGGAGTGAAGTCTGTTGTGTTGTTGTGATCACTTTTCTGAACGAGGGGGGATGTTCTCTGTTCCCAGAGAATCTCTGTTACAGGCCGTGTAGCCTACACTGCAACCTCTGTTACTGTACTTTTTTTTTTTTACCTCTTACATTACAAATTAACTTGTAAAGCGGGTTTATTTTCCATCACTGAAGTGTTGAGATAACAGAAGGGATTTCCTTGTTTAGTCAGCCTTCACCGGTTGATAAATGCAAGGAAGGCATGATGAATGGGACAAACGCCTCGGTACATGGAGGGCGTAGTTGTAATTCCATTGAAAATGCTTGGACCTAAATGCTATGAAATACAAGTAATGCGTCCCTGGGTTAAATCTTTACTGTTGCTGGTTTTGGGTCAAAATAAATGTTACAGCTGTGGATTGTAAGGAGATGTTCTGAAGTTAACGCAGTGACTGTGCGCTGTGTTAGTGCTTGCCTTGAGGGGAGACAATGTGGCTTAATTAGTGGGTGGGATTTTTCCAAATCTTGGCCAACGCAGCTTTTCCTGTTATCTCCACTTACAGTTCAAAAGTAAATTGGCTTTTAGACATTCTGTTCCTGCATTTTACTGACCCTAAATAACTGCAAAACTCAAAGTGTGGGGTGTTTTTTGTTGATAACAGTTTGCTTTGTGGTTTTGTGTCCCCCAATACGCTTCATGTTGTTTGAAGTTTGCTGCTGTACATAATACTACAAGCAAATTCATTATGAAATATCAGCCCAAGCCCCAAAGGTGCCTGCGAATTCTGGAATTTACATCAATCTTAAATCCTTATGAAGGGGGAGAAGGGTTACTGCAATGTCTGACCAGTGCTTGTGGTATTGCATACAGAGTAGCATGGTGCGTGGACGTGTGTTAGCTGTGTTCTTCTCCGTTAAGTCAAAAGTTAATTTATTTTGCGTGCAAAGACAGCATTTCAAGGAGTCTGCCCTGCCAAAGAGCTGCCTGGGATGCAGGGGGAAATGAAACCACAGCGCCTAACAATGTCTCTGCGCTGGCTGCAAGGAAAAGCCCTTGTTCTCCTTTCCAAGTACTTCACATCCAACCTGCCATGACTGCTTCCTGCTGCAGAGACAAAAATTATATTTAAGTGGAATAAAACACTGCTTCTGATAGGAGAAGCTCCTTTAGAGCATCCTGGTAATCTTTGTAGTAGAAGCAGGAAGCCTTGGTCTGTTAGTTCAGACTGCTGAGATGCTGCTGCGTGGCAAAATCACGTGGGGAAATCCGGTAACCTGGTGGCAGATAGTTTTGCCTTGAAATCTAAAAATGGGTAACCAGGTTGTGGGGTTAACATGATACTTTTATCCAGATACTCTTATGGTTGTTATGCTGAGTTGCGTTTGCTCTCTGAGCTGTAACTTTGAGATCTTCAGGCTTGGCAAGACAACGTGCAGGTATCCACTGCAGGTTCCTGCTACAGAAGTTCTCAAGCAAGTCCTCGCAGTGCTGTCTTTGTATAAGATCTCATGGGGGAAGACTGGGGAAGGAGGTCTCTTTACCAAATTAGCTAGCACTTGGTAAAGCCCTCAGTTTAGGAAAACATGCTCAAAAAAAAAAAATCCCATGAAAGCAATGTAGGTAAAATGTTTTGGGTTTTTGCACACCCACTCCTTTCCCTCCCCTGGCTCTGTGCTGCTGTAGGTGCTGTTATTGTTCTCTGAAAAACCTTTTAGCTTGGCTTAAGTTAATTAAAAGCAATTGTTTTTGCTTGTTTCTGTAATTTATTTTGAGAGGCTTCCTCCTGGGTAGTTACTTTGCTGTCCCGTGATCCTATGACCGTGTCCCTGCTTAGCTGCCTTGCAATTAGAATGTAGATCTGCTGATCTAGATTTAGTGTCTGACTCTTGCTTCCCTTTTCTCTCTGCTGCACGGCTTCTCCCAGGGCTCACCCCTTCTCGCATTCCTTTAGGTAAGATACTCTTGGAGGCTGATAAAAGTGTGTTTGTTGCTGTGCCAGCCCTTGCAGATGTTAAAGGGGAAGCTGATTGTTTAGGCCTGGCCTACGCTTTTGACACAGATTGAGAAACCTTCCACAGACCCATAACCTGTGATTGACTTTTGTATCACAGTTGCCGTCTGCAGTTACATGTTAGTGCTTACAGTCCTATGTCTGGAAAATTAAGTTCTGGGCTGCAGCTGTTAAATTGGGGAAGAGAGGGCTGGCTCATAACACTTCAGTTGTCCACAGCAGCCTGTGTGTGGACAGTAAAGTGCTTAAGAACCGGGGGTACGCTGCTTTTGCACGGTGCCTGTATAAAATTGTCATTTAACTCTTTTCCTCCTTATTCTGAATGCTTCCGAGCAGCAGCTACTCCATTCGCCACTCGATAAGTATGCCAGCGATGAGGTAACGTATCAAACACCTGTGTCTCCTGCGTGGGGTCGGTGGGAGAGTACCACTGACTCTGTTGTTGTTCGGTTTTTGGTTCTGACTTGTACGGCTGGTTCCCTTTTTAAGCAGAGCCCACTCAGGGTGTGGGGTAACCCCCTCCTGCAGTTTGGGTGATTCAGGGTGGTTTTTTCACCCAATCTCTTTTTATGGTGGTTGTGTTGTTCTTGGACTAAGCAGTGTCGCAACTGTACCAAAGTGTAATGGAGATTTGCATTGTGCTTGGACTAAGCACAGTGTCACAACTGTACCAAAGTGTAATGGAGATTTGCAGCTTTCAGAGGTCCCTGGAGGGCAGGGATTACAGCCCTCCCCTCGCAACGTATCGCATGGCCGTTGCTAATGCCGAGGTGGGTCCTTGGGGAAAAACGACTGCAGGGCTGGATGAGGCCCACAGAAGCCCTCTCTCTTTCTCTCTCTCTGTTCATCCTCATTCCACATTGATGGGTGCAAATATAAAGCAATTCTTTGGAACAAAAATAGCGGAGATGAGGCTGGTCATCGCCCAGTGCCCCTGGAGCCTCGCCCGGGGAGAGCAGCTCTGTAGGAGCGATTGCCTGTCTGAATGCTCAGTCCAGAGCACACCCTTGGAATCATGCGCAAGTAAAGAAGCTCTCTCTCTGATCATCCTCATTCCACATTGATGGGTGCAAATATAAAGCAATTCTTTGGAACAAAAATAGCGGAGATGAGGCTGGTCATCGCCCAGTGCCCCTGGAGCCTCGCCCGGGGAGAGCAGCTCTGTAGGAGCGATTGCCTGTCTGAATGCTCAGTCCAGAGCACACCCTTGGAATCATGCGCAAGTAAAGAAGCTTGTTGGGTTGTCAAACAATTGACCTGGTTTTCTTTGCTAGAAAGATGAAATCCTCTGATTAATTTATTACACTGTGATTTTTATGAGCGTTTCCTGCTGCAAATGATCACTCCTGGAGTAAGAAAACTGCCCATAGGTACAGGCACGTGGCCCTTCCCCTTCCTGCCCGCAGGATATAATATGGGAAACTGAAGCCTTTGTGTTAAACCCTTGTCAGCTTTTCCATTATTTAAATGCATGCTTTTCGTTGAAGGGATTGTAAAACTAAGAGCTAGTTCCTTCTCTATGTATGTGTTGATTCCCTAGGGAACTAGGACTTGTTTCCCCCAACATTTTAGCTTGAGCAATTGATTGGATTGCAGGTGGTATAAATGTTTACCTTTGGAGTTTTTATGTGGTGGTCTTGTCTGCTGTGCCTGGGAGATTCGTGCCAAAGGCTGTGAGGAGCTGGAGGTGTCCTGGGTGCTGCTGTCACTGCATGGGAATGGCCAGGAGCCCAGTCACACTGCACCATTTGATTTAGTTAAGAACTAACTTGTCTTGATTTGTTCTTTGTTCTTTTTTTTTTCCCTCTCCTTTCTTCAAGGAATTCTGCAACCTTCAAGTCATTTGAAGATAGAGTTGGGACCATAAAGGTAATACTCTGCTTTGTCTTGTAAATGTATAGCGTGAAGCCTTATGCAGAAACTTTAGTTTCTGCAATGTTTTTCTTGTAGACTAGTATTCAGGCAAATGGCCTCTCTCTATGGGAGGTCTTTGCTACAGCAGGGACCTTGACAAGGGGGAATTGATTTGATATTCTCAGCGCTGGGTTCTTGTCATCCTAACTCTCTTCTCTCCTTTCAGTCCAGAGTGGTGGGCAGCCGGGAAAACAGCACTGATGGCCTCCACTCCCTCTCGGGAGCCGAAAACAAGCCTCCACAAGACAACGCTCCCTTCTAGACCTGCGATGTTGCTTTGCACGGCTGTGCACAACTCTAAGAGCAAGCCCCCTCCCTCCCTGTCTTCACAACAGCAACAACATGCGAATCCAAGAAGGGGCTGAGAGCCAGTCTGGAGAGATCCATTGTTCATTCATAGACACTGCTGCTGGATCTAAGTCAAATAAAGAGAATGCAAAGTTTTGTACACAAATAATATTTTACACTAAAGTTTGTAGATTAAATGTATCACTGCTGTCCTTTTGGGAGAGCGTGTTAGATGGAGTTTCCTTAAAGTAGCTCAGAAATGCCACTGGTATAGATAAAAACAGTTTTCCCTTGTCTGATGTAACTTGGAACAGATACATCGCCTTGCAGTGTGAGGAGGGCAGTTATCGGAGAAGCCAAGTGCATGGGCATCTTAGCTTCAGCTTCTGGCTCTGTTCTCTGGTCAGGGCATGCCACGCAGCTACTCTGAGCTCCCAGGCTTCTCCCGTTGCTGTTTTCTTTGGCTCTCATTGGAGTAGTTCAGTAAATGGGGTAAACAGTTTTTTGTTTTTTTTTTTTATTCTGGGCTCCCCAAAGGGAAACTTCACTTAGCAGCTGCCTCCTTGTTACACTAATGCTCTAGCTTTAACAAAACTAAAAATCTTTATTTTTAAATGCAATGAACTTTAAAGAAATAAAGCTTAAAAAAAAAAAGTGCTTTGGCATCATATTAGGGAAGCATTCCCTTGGACTCTGAAACTTAATTGCAAGCCTTACATCACCTTATGCTTTACTTGTTTATGGTTTTTTCTAGAGAAGACTGCAAGGGTGATAAAGCTGGATGCTGAGCACTGGAGTTTTGCATCATACACTAGCAGCAGCATGCTTAAAGCCTGTTCTTGTGTTAAATTCAGTGGTGCACTCCATTTCCTGAGTGTATGAAACTTGCTTCTCTCTTCTCAGTTTATGCCTTCATTCTTGGAGGAGGAATTTCTGAAGGCTGCTAGCACCAGGGACAGGTTCAAAAGGCCAAAGCTGTCTCTAGCAATCAGGACGCTGTTGGAGGGGCTCTGCTCTCAGGGGGCTCCTCCAGCTGGTACATCTGGCTGTCACTGGACAGGTTTTTCACTTGAAAGCCCCAGCTCTAATAATCCTGGCTTACAAAACTGGCAGAGTCACGGAGCTCAGCCAGTTCCTCTGGGAGCTGGATGTTTTGCTCTCTTGATGTCCAACTTCATTGCTCAGGAGCTGAAAAAATCAGAGTTTTCTTCTAGAGGCCTGATCTTATTCTAGGCAAGGTGCCTCCACGTAGACATACCTAGAGTGAGCAATTCTGTGCCTTAGAGGCGGAGTGGGACTTACTCAGGTCTTTAGACTAGCTTGTTGTACATATCTGGGTACCACGTAGAATTGCTCACTCTAGGTATGTCTGTGCCTTAGAGGCGGAGTGGGACTTACTCAGGTCTTTAGACTAGCTTGTTGTACATATCTGGGTAGTTTTAGTGGACCCTGGAGGGACTGAACTGTCTCTGACCCTTTAGAGAAGCAAGTTTTGACACTTACCTGCTGATTAATCTCCATTTCCCCCACCCCTGCTCCCCTCCCTCTGCAGACCTGGGGACACAGGATGAACCGTTAGGGGGCAGGAGGTGGAGGGTAGAGTTTTGTTTCGTGGCGCTCCTCGTTTGACTGAGTCTGGCCTCGCCACGAGGAGCAGAGCCAGTGAGACAGGGACTGCTGGAGCTTGGGTATTGAACTGTTTATACAGATAAATAGTGAGGAAACTTCTCAATAAAGCATTCCTTTGGGAGAAAATGGGGTGAAGGTTCTTGTTTTCTAACAATACTAAAGTCTGCTTGTCGGTTTGTGTTACCAACCTGTCGAGTAAATACCGACTGCCTGCAGCAGCTGGAGGTGCGAAGCAACCGAAATATTCTGTTCTGTTCCATCCCTCTGGGTTGTTTGTCCATCAGGTCTCCGGATGCTTTCTGATGAAGGGATGGACTAAATGATGCTCAGAGTCTGATGTTTCCTTTTCAAGATGCTGAACACCTGAGACATACCTGTGCTCACCCCCGGGCTGGGGAGCTGCACACCCACGTTTATCCTCCAAACCATCGCGTTGCGATGCTGCAGGTGAACCAGACGTGCCTCCAGCTCCCTCGCGCTGTTTTCCTGAGCTCAGAACGTGGGACCTTGGCAGTGGGGGCTGAGGCTGGAGGAACTTCTGACGTGGAAAAGCAGCAGCTGTGGTGCTGGCTTGGATCTACGGCGTGATACCGCAGGGAATCGGCTGCTGGGAAGCTCTGGCAATTGATACTGATTGAAACAGCACGGTGCAGGGGAGCAGCGAATGTGTCACTGGAGTTGGGCGATGACTCCATTGGCAAATGGGATTCATCATCCTTCATTTCTTTAAAACGTGAGTCAGAGGCAGCAGACGGGAAAGGCTGTTGGAGCTGCACAGGGAGGGCACACACCAGTAGGGCTGTGCTGGGGCGAGCTGCGGTGCTTGGGCAGTGTTCCCGCACTGGCAGTGGGCTCACTGGATCCAGGACACCCTGGGTGGGGGACGTTGGGCTTTCACCCACAGTGGGAAACAGCAGCGTTCCCCAGGGACCAGCCAGGAAACTTGAGCAACTGGGAAAAAAACTCTGGAGCTTAAGAAACCCTATTTTCCTCTAATTGTAAGCGCTCCTTTGTTCATTAAAAGGAACTAGGCTTGGCACCGTGCTCCTGGGGCACACAAGAGCTGGCGGCCTGCATGGGGGTGTGGCACCCCCAAAAAAGGTGCAGATGAAGGCGCTGCACAAACGTGACCTAAGGCCCAGGGTTGATGTGCATGAGCGCTGGCGGGCTGAG